AAACAGTTGTGAACGCACAGTGTGGATGGTACTTTTTGGTATGTGTTCATCAAATAAAAGATCACACTTAGCAATCTATTTTATGTTGTCATATAGGTACCTTCACATAGCAAAGCTAAAACAAACACTTAAGTCTAAGACACTGCAATTTACACCGTTACTCATCTTAGCAATATATGTTCCTTTTCAAATCCTTCCCCTTCTTTCAAATTTTCCTTAGTGCTTGCAAGCTGCTTGCTCTTGATTCCAGGCTTCATAACATGTTACTTATTATGACCAACAACTTCCCAGAGGGCCCAGTTTCTAGTGTCATATGTAATAAAAAATAAGATTTTAGACCTCCAGGTGTTCACTTCATTCCTGGTGAATGAACCGTTTGTGCTTCCCTTCAGCATTTATAAGGTCATCAGAACTCAGCAGTAAAATGATGCCCTTATATTCACTCTTTATAATTTATATTTCACATATATCAGACTCCCTTGAGCTTAGATATTTCAAACATACTAGCCTTATATTTTACAGACCATATCAGTTTCTTTTGCCAAGGAGGAAATGCCTTCAAGTCTTACTTAGATAAGACTATTAAAAAAAGAAATAAAGGGGAAAAGGCTGATTACAGAGATGGTAGCAACTGAACAGTTCTTTTTTTTTTTGAGGTACTAGAACAGTGTCCTGAACTCTGCTCATTTTGATGAGATACAACAATAATATTTTAGTAGTTTAAGATCATTAAAAATATTTCACATTTATTTCACGTTAACCTGAGGGATTTTGCTGTGTTTATACTCAAATGATTATAATGAAAATTCCCCTCTATTCTGAAAGAGTTAAAGTATGCTGATATATCTAGATCTTTAATAAAGTATGCTCATATGGATATATCTTTAATTGTTTAAGCTCAAACTTTCTCTTTGTTTGGGAGGGAGCATCACAAATTTTCACTTAGATCTTAAGAAATGAAAAATCTTTCCAGATCACAGGCAATTCTAATGTTAACCTAACCCTCACCTGTTTCCATAGTGAGCGGACAGCTTCCTGACAAACTTTTTTAAAGGTAGAAAAATCAAATATGTAGGAAGTATTTTAAAGAGCATCCTACAGAAAGAAATGTTCATAGCACTGTTGGAGAATGCACATTCACTCGATCTGAAATGGTGCTATTTGTAAGCCCTTTCATTCACCGGTGTGATCCTAAACAGTGGAGGAGAGAGATGCAGGCACTTCCATTTACAAGCCACAAGAAACACAAGCAACTTTTTTCTAACTTAAATGTGAAAGGCCACTAGGGCTTGGAACCTGGCTGCTTTTATACAACGCTCCCGAAAGGCCAGAGCTCAATAACTGGACTCAGTTTAAATAATCTAGATCCCTTCATATACAAGGGAAAAAAAAAATTAAGTCACTTCTGGGACTGAGTGCAGCTGCCTGCGTAGACATAGTCTCTATTCCAAATGCTTACACAACGATGACGTATATTATTAAATAATTTTCGGTTCCAATTTTATTAACTGGCCAAATTCTTGTTCCAGGCAAACCCCCAGAGTTGAAAGTCATGTGGGCATTTAATTCTTCAAATTAATAGGAACTAAATGCTCCTAAAACTGATGATGGAGACTAGAGCAAACAGAGGTGGAACTTGTAAACTACCAGAGCTCACATGAATCCTTCACTAAAGTACAGTCATTCTAATGACAGTAAGTAGCTGGTACAAGCAAAATATTCTTTGAACCATGCAACCCAAAACATTTAACAGCTGCCGGGGTATATTTACATTAAGAAGCTTGAAAGGAGCACAGTGATTTCTAGTAATTGCAATTCAGAGTTCATGTCTTCCCTTATTATCACTCTTCCCACCCATTGGTCCATTATACCTTAGCTATGTAGCTTCATGAGAGAGGTTTCAGTATTTAATGGTCTACTTGCAGTGATAGTAAAATTGTCATCTAGGGATAAAAGCAAGGAAAGATTTGTAACAAGAGGTAATGCATTTTATCATATATATTTGGAAAAATGGACATGCTTTTAGGAAGCTTTTCTTGGTATCTGAAACAGAAGTGTAACATAATTAAGATAAACTCAGAGCAATTTTTCCCAGCCTGCTTAGACTGCAATATGCTCCATCTGTTTCAGACCTGAAGAAAAGTCCTTGATAGTCCTAAGAGCTTGTCTGATTTTTTTCCACACTATGTAGGTTAGTCTAATAGAAGTTATTTTCTGTCCTTAAAGTTTTGCCGCATTTATCACTTGTAATACTTACAGTAGCCCTATAGTTTCCTAACTTTTAGAATGGTGTGCATACCATATCATTTTTAACTTGCCATGCCAAACTTTGTTATTAGTTAACAGCGATAACAGTTTTATTATCACTTCTTCTTACATACGTGCAGAGTCTGATGTTGTTCTCAGTGTGACATCAAATTCTTAACTGACGGCACTTAGAGCTCTGACATGGGGAAAAGCTGTAGCAAAATGGACCCATCTGTGGCTTTATTTTGCAATTTGTAACTAAACTGGCTGGTATGGGCAGCAACGCTGGCATAAAACCTGCAATTCTATGTGGTCATTTGCTATATTCATTTTATCAAATATTCGTTATAAGGTCTTGCATATTCCTTGGTGATGAAGACTGGCTATTGTTTGATACGCAACTTTCCTTTAGGAGAAAAGAGTTTTTCTTCTTCAGTGCCATTTCCGGCCCCAACTAGGACAGTACTTGTATATCTTAAAAAGGAGACTTGCTAAAAATAATTGCTTGACTTAAAATTTTATGAGCAATTTCTTTTTAATATATATATTATCTGGGCCACTCATTTTGTTGCAGTGCACAATTAAATTTGGCTTTTGTTTCTCATGTAATTTCCACTGTTCTACCATTGTAGTGAGGCAATCTATCATTATCTTCAAATGCCGCGCCAAATGTACTGCTTCAATGACGCTAGGGCTATCCTTAAGGCTGCACCCAGCGTTCACGGCACTGAGGCTCTGTTTCTTCTTTCCTTTTTTTAATATGACACAAAGACCTTTTGCAACTCATTTTAATTCTCAGTGCAATGTTCAGCTTAAGACAACCGCTATGTGTGCTCACTTTATTTACTCTTAAGACATAGTTCCCTAAAAGAATTACTCATATTCTGATAATTCTTTAAGTTCTGGGCATATTGACCCTGGAAGATTTATATTCTGTCCTACTAAACTGCCTTTTTTCCCCCTTTTTCTTGCCTACAGTGAAGATCCAGATAGAGTTTCCGCTTTTCACTTAATGAAATTTCATCCTTACTATCCTTTCAAGCCTTCAGCTTTGTCATCTAATCAAACCCACTAACTTGTGTATTTCTCTCAATTTAGACTACAGACAGCTAACTACAAAGAGCTGCAGAAGTGCTCTTAAAAAGAAGCACAACGTAAGGAATGCTTAAGAAAACAACAGAGAATGAAACAGTAAAAAACTTCAAAATAACACTGTACAAAACAGTGGCATTCTCACACCTTGAATACTGCAGTCAGCTCTGGACCTCGTCTTAAAAATAATACAGTAGGCCGAAAAAGAACTGAGAAGAGCAACCTGGATAACTAAAGATGCAGCATGGCTAGTAGCCAAAAATGATTAAATGGACTTAGACTCTTCAAAAATGGTTTTGGGAGGAAAATAATGAGGATTTATAAAATCAAGAGAGGCATGGAGAAGATGAACAGGGAATATCTCTAAAATATCCCTTCTAGCCCAAAAGCTTGGGCCATTAATGTCATCAGAGGCTGGCATGTGTAAGCAACGAAAAGGAAGTACTTCTGCACATGCTATATACTTAAGCTCGGCAGCTCTTTGCCACAGGGTACTGTACGTCATAAAAGTTTACATATGCTCATAGGCCAACTGGAGAAATTCATGGAAGAAAAAAATCCATCAAGGGCTAACTGAAACCCAGATACCAATCCCAGTATATAAAGGCCTAATGCCTCAGACTACTGGAATTTAAGAGACAATAGCAAGGATGCGTCATGCGTGTTTCATATTGCTCCCTAAACATTTGCTGTTGGCTACCATTTATCAGAGTGAGATGAAAACTGGGCTAAAACATATGTTTTTAATCTACTGAAAATTTTGGATATTTCTTCTAATGAAAATTTTAAATAAAAGGTAAAAATTTATATGATATTAAGAAAAAGACTAGGTAGACCTTTTAACTCACCTAATCAATGCTAAATATTAATTTTAAAATGCATTTCACATATACTGCAGAATCAGCTCAGAATCAGTAATTATTTTCTCTACTCAGATTTATGCAATCATTACTTGTTGCTACATTGAGTGTTAGGGGAAAAATACTTTGGATATTCATACATGGGAATTTCTGACCTAGAACAATCATTATAATCAATGCCTGAGAAATCAAAGTCCTTCATTTGATAATATGAGTCAAAATGTCCTATTTGCTTAGCTTTATTAATTTCCTTTCATCCTGTTTGCTGATTCATAGCAAAGCACTTAACACATTTTGATTTGTTTCTCTTTTTTTTGACCTGAGCATTTCATCAAAGTTTAGCACCTGGTGGTAGTTTTACAATCCAGAGAGTACTGTTGATACACTCCCTTTATTTACAAAAATCTATGAAGTCATGTTTCCCTAAGTACAGGAAAAAATCAAACTCAGGAGAAATTCTTTTCTCCAAAGGAGTTGTAGTCTCTCTAGCCAAATCTCTCTCGGCTTTTTCTTTAAGTAAATAACAAAGCATAGGACGCTATGTGGTATTTCCCTGCTGTCTATTCTCAGCTTCTTTGATCCTTCTGTCTCCCTTTCTCTAGCTGACACAAAATAGTGTGCAGGAGAGGTGCTTAGCTTAGCTATTCCTTGCTTGTGACTGGATTTTGGGCAGGGATGTGTTTGGAGCAGCAGAGATGATCACTTACAGTGTTTTGACTTCAAAGCGTTCGACTTGCATCCTGCCACAAGTTCTATGAATGACAGAAGGCACAATTACTGCATGAAGAATGCAATCCTTACCGTCTTTGCAGAGGATTCCAGATCTTCCGTATGGACAAAGGCAAACAACATCTTGCTTGGACTTCGGAAAACATGTAGCACCATTTCCACATGGATTTTCATCACAAGTCGTGAACTGGCAGAGTTTTCCAGTGTAGAGTTTAGGGCATTCACAAAACCAATTTTCTGCATCACTGACAGATTTAAATTAAAAACAAAAAATATGTATAAACACTAAAGTACACTTTAAAAAAGGATGAGTCTTATTTTCACAGAAATTCAATGATATTTGACTTGTGGTTGTAAAATACTTCTTTGTTTTTACTCTACTTTTTTTTTTTTTTGCTTGTGTACCTGGCATTAGAAATGCCAGGACGTGTTATTGGTGACTTGATTTGACAGAATCTATTTTGTATAATTTTGCATTTTATTTTATCTTTCCTTTCATCTTAAAACATGTCTCTTTTCTAAATGTGTTTCATCAGTTACTTGTGCTACTGCTTTCATAACATACTCAAAATAACTGCTAAAGAAAAACAGCTCTTCTATTATATCTGAAAAAGAAAAGAAGAAGAAAAAAATATAAAGTTACTGGTTTACTTTGCAAGCCGAAACATCTTTGTACATCAATGTATTAGATATAGCTCTTGACATTTATATATAGCCCTTGACAACACAGGAGGACGTCAAGAAAAACTGAAATATGAACACTTACAGTAATCATCAAACAAAAATTGAATCAGAATAAACAGGTGATAGCTCTACTTTCATATATCCTATGTTCTCAATTATGAAAAAAAGTATTAAAATAGACAAAGGAAAAATGTAAACCGTAATCAATCTGGAGGAGTGAGAAAACAAATGTTTAGAAATGTGGCTATGCTTTTTGCACAGATTTTTTAAGTATACAAAGATGCCACAATGGCAGACATGGTATGAAAACCAAAGTCAGATAGGAAAAGCAGTAATGTAAGCATTCCAAGCTATGACTTACTATAACTATCAGTTTCATTGCAAGCTTTATTTGTTTTTCCCCTAGTTTTATGAGTTTATGAAATTAGATGACAGCTAAATAGGTGAATTCATGTGATGACTACATATACTCAGTACTGAACAGAAACACGTCTATCTAATACTTGATAAGGTCACATGTGCCCGTGGGTCTGAATACAGAAGACATGATGTGAGCTATGTTAAACCACAGTCATTACGTTCTTCCTAATAATAGCATACTCATTAGGAAGTTTAGTGATAAAATGTCAAATAAATGTGATTTCTAGAAATGTGCCACTGCTTATAATATCCAGACAATCAGGTGACAGGAAATAATCTAGAGCTGAGAGAACTCCTGCATCTATTAAAAGAAGAAAATAAGTAAGTCTGACAGTCTTTGTGTATAACAGTTGATTAGTTTACTTCTAAACTGACCACCTACAGCTTTAGGGGAGCTAAAATCTCAGCTGGAACGTCTACCAGCATGAATCTCATGAATAATGCCTCCAGACACCTTTGCAAAAGAAAATTGCTATCAGCTGCAGTAATAAATTTCTGTGCGTAGCCTATTCTATTTATAGATCTGCTGCAGACACTGGGAGAGGAATGTAAATGAGATACTGAATTGCTTTAGTTTGGGTAGCACTGAAGACCCTGCTTTCAGTTCGTTTAATATCAGCTAATTAAAAATGCAACAATAGGCTGAATTCTTTCTGGACATTTGCAACTGACAATGATGATCTTCAATCTAAGTACCAAATGTGTTTCTGTCTGTTTATATAGAAGAAGGATCATTGCTGCTGACTGCCAAAATACATAGACCATACATACATACGTAGTCTTCACTTAAAAAAAAACAAAATTTCATCAACTTTTCTATTGAACTATACATCAGCATTAGCATTTTTTTATAGTCTTATTTATAGTGTTTTGTAGATGATTAAGAATAACATTTCTCATAAAAAGTTGTGAGGAATTTATTCTTATCAAAATAAGCAACATCCTAACATTTCACTATTGATGTTAACCTGTCATAATAACATCCTAGTAACAAACACAAATGATTCCCAGTGAGGCAAAGAAAATAGATTTAAAAAGTTATCCAAAATCATACAGAGCTTGATAGTATAATAGTTAACCATACAGGAAAAATACCACAGTCAATTCACAAGAATTAGTACACTGAAATGTGATGTCCCAAATGACTTATTGTTGTCCTTTCTCAAAGCAATCATTCACTGTACCTGGTTAAGAAAAGGATATGGTCTCCCATATTCCACTGAATTAATCTCGGTTAGAAGAAATACATAAACGCTCTAAAGACTGAGGACTTCTCTTCTCCCAAGTGGGATTCACAGTTTCATGATATCCTGCTATTCTTTATATAAAGTACGAAGCAAATGAAAACAGCCAGCAAATCACAAGAGTAATATATTTTGCCTACACTGTACCACTGTGAACGGTTCCAGTGAAAAGACTCTGGATAATTATATCCAGGAGCCGAAGAAAGGAAATAGTGCCTGATAGAAAAAACAAGGAAAATATCAGAATTTTGAAGTTTCAAAAATTGGAAATAAATTTAGAATGTGTTGCTGAAACTTGTCACATGTCTATATTCATTTGGAGTACAGAGCAGGAGTGTGCTTTTGAAGCAACTCTCAAGTAGTTCCCATTGAAATGCTTCGGTTCACATTGTGGAATGGTCTCACAGTTTATGAACTTGATTTCTTTCAGGTGAACCTAAACCAGAAGGTTCTCACCAGGAGCACACCTTGGATATGCCAGCTGTTAACTGGCATTCAGTCCATAGGGCCAGAACAGATCAAGTCTGAATTAAAGCTCCCCGAAACAAGAATAATACAAATGTTGGGTCTCAGTACCAGCTACTTTGCCCTGTAAATCTATTCCTACTGAAACACATTATCTGCTAATGTAGATGAAGCTTTATAAGTCATAAAAATAAAATCAGGCAGCCGTGGTGTACATAATATCAAAAAAGGCTCCAAATTTTAACTGGGGTACTGACAAACTCCTGATGTAGGCAGAGAAAAAAACTAGCTATCCAGAATCATATGAAGGAGAAATGTCATAAACAGTGGGAGAAAATGGGAGAAAAGATAGAAATCCTATAGAAAGGGGACGGAAGAGACAAGTGCAAAACTCCCAGGGCACCATAGCCTCATGTTACCAAGTTTTTGGCATATTAAGAAATAGGCTTAGGGTAGATAAATTGTTCTCCCATCTTCTTATAATCCTTTGAATTGGGAAGGGACAAATTTTTCATTACCATTTCCCATGTTAAAATATTCCTTTGATCTTTGGACTAGACCTCAGCTTGGAAAGAAAATCATCAAGAAGCACGTACATGGTATGGCATGTAAGTGGTAACTCAATAGTAGCAATTCTTCTCCTTGAATTAGTACGAAATCTGATCTAAAGAAATCAAAGTTTTGTGTAAGAGAGGTGACGCCCTTAGTATGACAATACAAATTTTCATCCCTTAGTTTTTTTAAAATGTTGCAATATGCAAAGGGGATTGGATTATAGCATGCTAATAATCCAATCACAACCGTGTTTATTCTCTGTTTTTGCCTATTAGTTCCCCTTTTTATAACAATAATTCCTCTGTACATCATATCACAGACATCATTTGTACAGTACCTAGCGATACATCAGTGTGGTTCTTCCAAAGCACAGCAGTTTTCCATATGCTTGTGTTTTTTCTGTTTATGAAGTGGGAATACTACTATTTACAGAACCTTCAACTGTTCTGTGATCCCCACTGAAAGCACTGTACAAGTCATTTTTGTAACTGTATGTGAGAAGACTTCAGTGAAATTAAATGCACCAAACACTTTAACCTTGACAGTGCTATACTGAGTGAGAATTTTAAAAGCTACTTGTTGTAGTGGGTTCAATATTTAACACAGCATGTTCTTTTTGTGTCATCTCTATATCGTCTGTGACAAAGACAGAGAAGTTTGCTGGAAGGAACAGCTTTCCAGGCTACTTCAGTTAATAAATGCTGGATGTAATTCAGTTGATTTTTAAATTTTTATTTATGGCTAGTGCAATTTTGTTTTAAAATACTGGAAACTTAAAGGAGTATCATACTTTATCAGTTTATACTTTAATTTGAATTACACTTTATGCAAAGAATGGTTAAATCTTTTCCTGGAAAATACTAGTGTAATGGAAAAGTGATTCAGATCTTCTTTTGAAAATCTCATGCAGTGGCCAAATCCACAGAAACTCACTATAGACAGAAGAATAACCTTACCTGATCAATAGCCTTAAAAACATCAAAGTGCTATATATAAAAGAGGTATTGCTTCCTTGTGCACAGCAGGTGATTTTCTAGTATATATCTGCCAATCTTTCCTTGTATTATACAGCTCGAAAAAATCAATTCAGCTTTCCTGCTGCTTTAGTACTTTCACCCAGGTTTCCTCAATTATAGTAACATCTCTAGATCTGAGTGCTTTTGTTAGCTTTACTATTTTTAATCCTTTTTTTTCCCTATCAAAAATTATTATTCTGCAAGCTCTGGCGATTCATTTTAAATTTCCTTTCCTTTCACTGGAAGCAGTTTTTAAACTACTTCTCTTTATAAAAACAACCACTGATAGGCTCTCTTTAAACCAAGTCCAAATCACTTGTGAACTAAATTGGTTTTGAAAACTACTAGGGAAAATATTTCCAAATTGGTTAGGTGCACTCATGAAAAAAACTTTTGCTCTAAATTTTGTTTGCGGCAGACTTATGTTCACAGTTACGCTGGTTATAGCATGAATTAAATAGTGTCTGATTCTACTATGGAACTCACATTTAAACCATACCTCCAAATTCTTTGATCTAGGTTAAAATTATTTGAGTTCGAAAGTTTTAATTCTACTTCAAACCTGAGTGAGAAAAGTTCCAACGCCTTATTTCCCTGTTGCCAATATACAAGGAAGAGATCCTTGCATACAAAATGGTTTGTCTGTAACAGAAAACTAAGTTGCAGGGCCCAGGTAAGAAATTTAATTAAACAGATGCTAAACCCATTCCAAGCAAACAAGTGCCTGTTCAATCTTACATTTCTTAAGCATGTATGTATGAGCTTCCCTGAATAAGTATCCACTCTTGAAATGACACCTAAGGCTTAGAACATTCACCAAAGTTGTGTTCGAGTCAGTTACGGCTTGGGAAGGGCAGCATT